TCCTACATCTCTCAAGACTCACATCAGCCATCAGCATCTCTAGGAAGCTCGTTTTAACCCATTTCTCCAAGTAAACGTGGCCTCCCGTCCTTTTCCCCTCTGCTGTGCTCTAGTCAGACTTCTCCCCCAGGACCTGCATCACCTCATTACTTTTGTTCATTTTCATGTCAGCTATTCCTCACCCTTATTCTCCTTGCATTTCCACAGTCTGGAGCAGGAATGGGCTCCTTAAAATGAATGTTGAGTGAACAAATGAATGAATGAATGAATAATTCATAGGTGGATTGGACTTCTGATTCTTTTATATACCATCCTCTACTTACCTAACTAAGTTCTCCTTGTACATCACACTGGTCTGGGATGGGCTCAGAGTTACATTGCCATCTTTGTCGCAGAGGAAACTGTCTTCTGTCCAAAGGTAGTAGCCATTGGTGAGGAGCCTGGGACTTCGGCGACAGGGCAGTCCCGTCAGGGGATCTATGGAGCAGCAGTCAAAGGAAGCATCACCGTGCAGGAAATCACAGGCAAAACTAAAGAGAGAATAAGGAAAGTCCTTTAAAGCTTCATCCAGAACATCCAGCACACAAAATCCACATTTCTAGTCACCATGACAGAAAACACCTCATTACATTCATGGCTGCCAATTGCTTCTGCATCTCTAAAAATGTCACTCTTAATCTTCTGGGCTTCACCTCCTCACCTGTGAGAGCATTGAACATTTAGTGCTTCTTTCTGTTTTAAACACATTGGTGAAATATTATGGCTCATTAGTTTCTTGACCATGTGATGCACCTTAGTCAATTTTTTTGGGGTGGAAAAATTGCAAAACAGTCTCTCTGGGGTGTTGGAAGCTCATAATCTCCTCCAGCCCTTACTTTGAATATCCTTCCAATGCTGCCTCCTGACCCTTGGCACTATACTAGATAACGTAACTGCACAGCCACCAGACACGCACGAGTTACAGGGCAAACGTGCAGTCCAAAAGAGATCTTTTTTGCCATTGCCAATGTCCCTCCAGGTCAGCAGCACAAATGTCTGTGCAGTTACCATCCCTGATTTGCTTCAGGGAAGCCTCCTATTTAGTTCGGTAAATCTGTACGTGTCTTAGGTTTGGAAAACTATCACACACCTGTGTGACCAAAGGGCAACCTCATGCTCTACTGAATTTCTGATAAGTTTTTAAATTTAAAAGTCTATTCACAATGAATACATTCACTAATGTTAGTAAAATGCTATTTTAAATGGATATTATTTAGTACTGAAAGCTAACTATGGGCCTGGCCCATTGCTTCAGGCTTTATTTACTTTGCGCATACCTCCCTAAAAGCTGAGTATGATTATCTTCATTGTGCAACAGGGGGGAATATGANCGTCGATGGACATTTATTTACTTTGCTTCCATATCATGGCCATTGTGAGTAATGCTGCAACGTACATGGGAGCATGGATATCTCTTTGAGATCCTGATTTCAAGTCCTTTGAATACATACCCAGAAGTGGGATTGCTGGATCATCTGGCGGTTCTATTTTTACATTTTAAGGAACCTCCATACTGTGTTTTCATAGCGGCTGCACCAATTTACATTCCCACCAACAGGGCACCAGGATTCCCTTTTCTCTACATTCTCCCAATGTGGATGAACCTGAAGGGCATTATGCCAAGTGAAATAAACCAGACACAGAAGGAGAACTACTGCATGATTTCCGTAGTCCCAGTTTCAGTCGTACAAGATGAGTAAGTCCCAGAGATGTACGGTACGCACTATAGTTAACAATGCTGTGCTGTGTACTTAAAACTTTGCTAAGAGAGTAGGTCTTCGGTTAAGCGTTCTTATCATGCACATGTGCGCACATGCACAATGAATAATACTCTTTCACAGACTTTGGAGAGAAGCGATTACAGAACATATGGATTTGTTGGTCAATAGCACTCACTATTCAGGGTAGTTATTACTGGAACTTCTGTTCAACCTCCTGAATTCCTCTCTTAAGTTTCCTTTCTGCTCATTCACTTGTTTTTCATAGGTAGACTCCTTGATGCCACAGACTTTGCTCCTCTACTGCTTCTCCTGTTGGCTCCCAAATCAATCTACCTAGATCCTTCCTTGCTCCTGAACACCATTCTCACATTTCCAGCCCTCTGGTGGCTATCTTTCCATAGGTACTTCATATTCAATTCGTATGAAATAGAATTCATTGTCTCTTTTCCTGACCCAAATCTGTTCTCTTTCTTTGCCTTTTTGGAGCTAATAGGTACGGCAGAATACCACCTCCTGTGCTAATATGTACTTTTCACGAACTATTTCATTCTCACAATTCTCTGTGCTATTAATATTTTTTCTCATTTTGTATATGAAGAAATGGAGGATCAGAGGTGCGTCCAGGACTTGAATTCGGTTTTATTCAGCTCAAAAGCCCGTTCTCCTCGTCGCTCTGCCATACTGTCTTCCAGACCTTCGTGACTGGCAGAACCTCTTGTGCAGCCCCCCAAGTTAAACACATCAGGGTTTTTTGTTTTTTATATATTTTTTTATTCTTCCCACTCTCTCATCACTGCATTCAGTCGTTCACCAACCTACCAATTCGACCTTGAAAAATGTTCCTTAAATCACTTCCTTCCTCTTTATTTCCAGAGCTACTTTCCTTAGTTTGCCTGGTGGTTTTAATTGCCTCTTCACTTTGTGTTCCTGTAAAGGTAACCTTGAA